CGAGTGAAGATGTACTTGAGTTCGTATCCGTCCAGCTCATGCCAACCAGCGAGACTCGAAAAGCTCTGAAGTGGCAACAACTGCCCGTACGTTAAATAGCCGCCAATCTCACGCCGCATCGGGGCAGAGGAGGACGTCGACGAACGCGCGGTGGCTTCCGAGCAAAAGCATGTGCTGGATCGAGCAGAAACCCTGGGCGTTCAAGCGCAAGAACGACTCGGACGCGACTGGGAGGACCTGGAGACCAGCTTGGAGCAGCGTCCACTGAAAGCTCGCGGCGATCGTGGCTTCGACCTGCACCTGCACGATGGCCGTCGAGTCCTTATGGAGCTCCATCTCGCAGCTGCTCGTCGGCGTGTTTGCCTGCATGCGAAAGCACATCGCGTCGTCCGCTTGGCTGGTGCCCGTCGAGGAAAAGGACGTCGGGTGCAAGACGAGCTCGACGGCCGCACCGTGCGGCAGCTCGTGGAACTCGCTGCACGCGTCGTGGAGCGCGTTGGACGCGAGGATCATGTGCCCGAGGACCTTGGCGCTCTCAAAGCTCCGCTCAAAGACGCCGAGGCTGCAGTCGTTGTGCTCGTCGTCGACCATCGTCTTAATCGAGCACTCGGCGAGGACGCCATCGTCTGTCAAGACCATCGAAAAGACGCCTTCCTACTCACAAGTGTCAGTTGACGCCACTGCAGCAAGTGACCACCTGCGCCGAGTAGCTGCATGTGACGGCGGTCGACGCCATGGCCGACGCGCCAAAGACGCCAAGTCCATCCAAGACGTGGTTGACGCAAATGCGGAAGCTCGTGGCCTCGGCCTCCAGATACTGGAACGTCTCGAAGAGGTCGCTGGACATACTCGTCTTGATCTACGCGGCGCCATGACCACGCATTCCTTGCAAACGACGCCACGCACCTGGAGCGACTTGCCCTTGGAGTGCGCGGTGAAGTAGAGCCCTATACAGCGGCCAAGGCATGAAGCGAGAGGCGAGAGGTGCATGCCACGGACCGGACGCGTCAATGTCGACGCGCACGAGCTGGTCCTTCTTGCGCCCGAGGAGGAGCGAGGCCAAGAGCGTGTACATGTGCTTGGCGTTGTCCATCGCACAGCTCATCGTCGTCATCGACGTCGGCGCCAGCGTCGGGTCGTCGTCGTACTCGTCATCGGTCGGCTCCATGGTTGCGGTCGTGCCACGAAATGCACCATTCCATTCGGCACACGCAACGCGAATGCCGAATATAAATCGGCCATACCGCTTTGGCGTTTGACGCATGCGATTGGCTATTTCGGTTGCATTTTGGACCAATCCCACGCGATTACAAACAAGCCACGCCGCCGCCGAGCCGCTGCGAGCGCCGAATCGAATTGAAAAATGAAATCGCTCAAACTTAGCAGACAGATAGACGACACTTTGGGGACCAAGAAATGCTACTCCACGTCGGCGTACGAGGCCTGCAGCGACAATTCTGCGTCGTCAAAGATATGGATTGCGGCATATGCCACAAATAGAACAGCAAGGTGCCACATTTAGCGACGGCGGCTCCCATTTGAGCTGCGTCAGGAAGCTGCGCCAGATTCCAGTGGCAATCATCAGTACGCTTGTATTCACTACGGAGAGCAATTGCTTAGTTGGCTTTCTTTTCTCCCTGCAGATACATGTAGTGTGTTCCGCTTGCACCTTCTACAGTCGGTATACAAAAAACAAGTACTAGTACAAAGGGCTGATCGATCAACTCTACTAGTACTAGTACACACAACAGCTTTTACACGCTGCAATGTGCAGTCGAAGACGTCATTTGCCATTTGCCATCCAACTGCCATGACCACCACCGCTTCCTTCAGCCGCGCTACGTGACCGGCTGGCCAGGATCGACGCGCCACGACCACACACCACCAAGAAGCAACTCTTAGCTCGACGCCTCGACCGCCGCACAGCACTCCATAGGTCCAGACGAACCTGTCGAGTGTTTGGCTCGCCAAGCGCTCATGGCCATGGGCGAAGAGACTGCGACGGATGAGAACATCCGTGCACTCGGTCGCGCTTTGCTGCGAGCGACGACGGTCGACGTCGTGACGATATAAAGGTCAGACGCGCCGGCAGTTTGGATGTCCACGTTGCCATAACGTCATCAGTGAAGTCATCTCGAGTCTGTCACATGGATTTAGCAAGCGCGGTGATCAAGTGACACTACAGTACGGCAATGCTGCGAGTCAACGTGAGCTCTGTCCCCCGAAGTGGCTAGCCCTTGACGTCGCCGTGCGCGGTGCTTGATGGCGCAACCCAGCCGCAGTGGGGACACGCCACTTGAACGGGCTCGAGGTCTCGCTTGGCGCGCAGGATGTTGATCTCTTCGTCACGGAGCTTGGCCGAGAGCTCAACGAGCGTCCGGGACGGCGCGTGGGCCGCGCGCGCCGCCGCCTTGGCCTCGAGAAGCCCCTGCCTCTGCGCCTCGTGGAAGCGCAGCCGCTCCTTCTTGGCCACGTTGGCGCGCACCTACCGACAAGAGGTCATGCGTCGCCCACCTCTAGCCACGTGTCGGGTACAGCGCTCGGATCGAGCAGCTGGCGCGCGTTGCCGATGCGATAGGGCGACCGGCAGTCGCGGCAATAGCCGTAGCTATCGAGGATTCCATGCCACGTGCTCTCGGGCGACAGCGTCTCAACGCCAGTTACGACGGACGCACGCAGTCGCTGGAGCTTCCACTGCACACTTGGCTGGCTCTGAACGCCCGTGAGCAGCTCCAGCGACTTGGCATACACGTCAAAGGCCACGACGACGCCCTACCAAAGCGCTGTGGCGCTGTGTCGAGGCGCAGAGCTCGGTACCACGAGCGTCGTTCGCGCCGTCGGCAGTTGAAGGCGCGAGCCTAGGCGTATCTACACTACGATCGTATCGTGGTCTGCGGTCGACTGCTGCATCTACCGTCACCGAGGCCGTCGTGAGCCAAGGAACGTCGACTGGACGACTGCACACTGCGCACTTGGGTGCCGTCACCGGCGCGGTGCAGTACAAGCATCGGCCATGGGTCAGCGGACGCTCACCCAGCACGAAAGGACCGGCAAAGCGCTGCGCCGTCTCGTCGTGCTGCCCCATTGCCGCTTCAAGATCTTAGTCCGCTATAGGTTGAAACATTGATACGGACGGTTGATGTCGTTCGTGTTTTTAAGATTACTACCTACGCCGTATCACGCAGAATTGATGGTTGCTGCTGAAAGATTGATTTATTCGAGGTCGTGCTCGACTTCCTTGGCGGCGCCGGCCGACTTGGCCGACTTCTTCTTCTTCGACTTCTTCTTGAGCGACGACGAGAGGATCGCGGCGATCTCGGGCGTGACCGTCTTGTCCGAGTTGATGCGCTCGAGCGGGAGGCTGAGGCCCGTGATCTTGGTCGTGCCGTTGGGCATGAGGAGCACCGTCGCCTTGAGGTGGGCAATGTGGTCGCCCTCACGGCCCTCGAGGATCGGGAACGGCGTGAGGAGGTCGTGCTTGACGCACTCGACAACACCCATGCGCGACTGCGACTCGTCCTCAAAAGCGCGGATCGTGAACGGAAGCGTCGGGAACTTCGAGTTGATCTCGCTGAACACGTAGCGCGACGCCTTCATCTTGAGGCGGTAGCTCTTGTCGACCTGGCGCTTGAAGACCGTCGTGCGGCGCTCCGAGGCGACGGCCTTGTCGAGGCCCGTCGTGAAGGCAACGTCGATGGCGTAGACTTCGTTGGCCTCGAACGTGACCTTGGCCGTCTTGGCCTCGTGGTCGTGCTTCTGGGCGATCGTCTTGCTGCCGTCAATGACGAAGCGCTTCATCTGGTGCATGAGCGTGCCGTGGAGGCTCTTGACGCCGTACGACTCGGCGAGCGCCTCGAGGGCATCCGTGACCTGGTGGTTCGTGTTGCCGGGCTTGATCAAGCGGGCGCAGAGCTCAAGCGCGTCCTGGGCGCACTTGAGCACATCGGCCTGCGAGCCAATGACGATGAGGTCGTCGCCCTCGGCGGCGGGCACAATGACGGTGTGCGCGACGACGGCGATGTAGCCGTCAATGTGGCAGCCCAAGTCGATCTTGACCCAGTCGCCGGCCTTGATCGTGGTCGTCTCGTTGGGCAGCGGCGAAAAGTGGCACACGACCTCGTTGACGCTCACGCACGTCGGGAACGCAATGCCCTTCTCGACCTTCTTGGACTTGTAGACGGTGGCGGCGCGGGCCGTGATGATGGCATCGCCAAAGGCGCAGAGCTCGACGACGCTCTTGCCGGGCGCGAGCTGGCCAATGACGCCCTCGAGCGCCGACTGCGCGATCTCGGCGGCAAGGCGGTACTTGGTCACGACGTCCGTGTTGCTGCAGTCCTCGATGACCGGGGCGTCGGCCTTGATCTCGGCCGCATCGTGCTCGCTGATGTCACTCATTGTGGTGTTCGTACTGGAAGTGGGAATTTCGTCGACTGAAGCCAAGCCACTCGCTTCACCCGAGCTGCCAGCCACTCTTTTTTCTGGGGTCCCGGCGCGGGTTCCTTTTGAATTCACCAGAGATATCTTGATATTTGTATGTCAAATTGATTCTTGGGATTATTATTATAGGTTTTTGCAGTGTATTTTTAGACTTTGGCCGTTTTTCCGATATGCGACGTCAGTTATTTTATTACCTTGGCATTTGAATGTCGATGGAATAAAATTCGTGACAAAAAGTTGGGTGCGCCCAGCGTCAACCGAATATGACGCGCAGGTGCGCGATGAGCTGGCAGCACGAGAGGCCAGAACGAATGATGATCGCGCCAAGACGCCGGGCGGATGATGGTGCAGACCAAGATTGAAAGACTAGATTTGAGTTATATCATCTACATTTGGTCTGAAAGCCCAACCTGAGTCCGAGAAACCTCAAGTGCATCGATGTGCATGGTCCTCTCTAGTGGAAACTCTAGTGATTTGCCTTTGGTAGCGACGCATTCTACAAGTTCGACTGCCTGGCGGCTCTGACGTCGATAACGAGCGAGTTGAAATGCAAGGCTGGGTATCGAACCCCTTCCTGGTGGTACATGTGCACCACTGTGTAGGCATGGATACACCATGACTCATGGCTGCCAGGTCGTCCATGAGACCACACCATCTCAGTCAACACCAGGAAATCCTCCACTGGACACTTTGCTCGTTTTGTTTTATTGCATACAAATACCAAGCCAACGCGGTGTCGATGGAAATATAATTCTCATGATCGTCACGCGGGACGGGCGCCATGAGCCGCCTCGTGCCAGCCTGCGAAGCCATCTTGGAGCAGCCCAAAGCGCCGTCGTTCTACATCTGCACCGGCACGCAAGGTATCTCGCCTCTGCCAGTCGTGCGCGTGGAGGGCCTTCCTGACCCTCTATCCTGGCCTGTATTGAGTGCCCAGCACGAACAACTAAGCGCCGAGTACGGCAAGGCCAGTGTCGTTCCCGCCACCGACCTCCTCATCGCCAATCAACGCGCTTTTGAAGAAGCCCTCCTCCAAACCGTCGTGCACAAGCTATTGTCGACGCTCGGTATCCGAGCCTCGAACGTCGGCGTCGTCTTGTCGCACCTCTGCATCGACGCCGTTGGGTCCACGGACGTCCTCCGCGCCGCACCAAGCTGCATTGCCAATGCGTTTGGGACGCTGATCGTGCTGCTGCCGTCATTCCACACGGGCGGTGTCCTTACGTTCCGACGCCAGACGCACGCGATTACGCTCCCGCACGACGCGGCCGAGCGCCCGAGAGGCTTTGACGGCGTCTTTATCAACACCACGATCGAGTCGACGCCAGTGACGTCCGGACGCCGCCTTGCGCTCGTCTTTGACTTGACAGGGGTCCACGAAACAGAGCGAGGGCCGTCCCGCTTACCGCTGAACCGCACCGGTCTGGCCGCCAAGCTGACGCTGCTCGCCGCGCAACCGCTGCCGCAGTGCCAGCGCATCGCGTGCAGCCTCACGTACCTCCGCCCGGCGCCCGGCGACTTTGGCCATCCTCACGCGGACGAAGACTCGCTGTTTCTGCGCCTGCGACCTCGGCACCGGTACCTCGTCAACATCCGCTTGGCCTCGGCTGTGTTTGACATCGCCGTCGTTCGCTTCTCAACGCGGCTGCTCACGACACGCAACGGCAGCAGGTATTCTAGCTTTCGATCAAAGCAGCTCTAATCCCTGCGAGTAGCAACGACGAACGTGTCATCGACAACCACGTCGCTGCGTTCGAAGTGCACTCGTCTTGCGACGTGCCTGATTTGGTGGCCCATCAGCTTGTCGGTGTCGCTGCCCACGCCTTCCTTGGCGATCCTGACCACGATGAACTCGCGCCCGTGAGCGCGCCTTCGGAGATGGCACTGCTCTTCTGGCCCAAGCGCTTCCGAGCCGGCATTGTCGGCATGAAGCCATCCTTGGCTCTCCTTCGCCACGCCGTCTTGAACCGCCGGACGGCGCGCCCGCTAGGGCTCACCAGCGTCCGCGAACTCGTCTTGGGGACCATGGCATTCTTTCACTCGGTCGCTTCTCTCGACTTGTGCGACGAGCGGACGGGCAACGCGCGTGACGGCAGTGCGGCCGCCATGGGCGACGTTCTCTGCGCCTTAAACGACAAGGAAATCGCTGCGTATTTTCTCAGCGACGCGCTCGCCGTCTCGCCGGGAGGAACGCGCTGTTCCATCGCGCTCCCCGACGCTGCCGCCTGCGTCCAATCGTGTCTGATGGCATTTGGCCGGCGACAGCTCGCGACTGCGATCTGCGACCTCTTGCGGCGCTGGCTCACCAGCACGACCCAGCGCGCCCACGTCGTGGGGTTGGTGTCGCTCCTCGCCGGTCTTTCCCAGGACGCCAATGTGGCCAAGTCGGACAAGCTGTCGCTGTTTGCACTTCTTCGATCGGTGGGTACCGTCCTAGAGGAGCTATGGCCGCGGTCGCAAGACGACGCTGGCTTGAGGTGCGTGCTAATGGCGCTCGCAGCCAAGTGCCGAGACGCGTACGTTGCTGGCGGCTTGCTGCTGCCCGTGCCTGGCATGCGTGACGGTGACCTCGTCGACATCCCGTTCGCCCCAAAGCACTGCGGTGACTGCAGCCAAGTGCGGCACTTTCTTGACGACGGGACGCAACTCCGACACGTGTTTCGTCGGCGCGTGTGCGCGCGAGTGCGCGACGTCGCGGTCGCCCACCCACGACGACTGCGCTTCAAGGAGAAGGCGCTCGCGGACGGAGTGTACAAAGCGAGTCTTCGGAAAGTGCAGCAGCCCGGGCGTATGCGCATTGCCCACGCAGCGTTAGCCAAGCGGCGCCACGTGAGCGCGACGACTAGCTACCGCCACCTCGAGGCCTTTCGTGGGCCCACGCCCGGCAACACGAGACAGTACACTCTCGTGCTCCACCGACCGGTGACTCGGCTGCACATTGCGATACGAGGCCACATGAGCGCGACGACTAGCGACCGCCACATCGAGGCCTTTTGCGCGCCCACGCCCGGCAACATGAGACAGTACACTATCGTGCTCGACCGACCGGTGACTCGGCTGCACATTGCGATACGATTCCTATGAAAGGGCGTCGTTCGACTAGTCGCCAGGAAATGACTGTCGTCTGTGAGCCTCAAAAGACTTGGCGCTTGGGTATGTCCCGACGCGGTCGAAACGTACACAGTTCAGAGCTTGCGCTTCCAGATAGTAAAAGCTACTAGGGTATTCATCTTTGCATCAAGGATGCATTCTTTGTGCCACCGCCGAAGCTCAAGCATTTTTTGTCAATATGCAGTTGATGCCCCAACTTTAAAAGCTATGACAGCTAGGCACCAAGTCGTTGCTTCGTCGACCTCCCGTGGTCGCTGACCTCAGCAAATGCGACTCGACCTGCTGGATTGGCCAAGGAATCTGGCCAAAATCCCAATCGAAGCTCGCGATGCTCAACGAGGCCGAGTGGACGATGCGGAAGGACATTCGGCGCCCCGCCGAAGTCGCTCTTGCCGTCACCACCTTGGACGTCGACGTCGTTCTCTCGCACCTCTACGTCGACGCGACTGGCGACGCTGACGCGCTTCGGCCCGTCCCCGACGACGTACCGGAGTCGTTTGGTCTTCTGCTTTTCTTGGCGCATTGACTTTGGCCCACAACGGCCGCTCGACGAGCGTGAAGGTGCACGTGTCGACCCTTAAGGACCCAACAGCCCAAGATGAGTAGCATTATATGAACAAGTACATAAGATTGGGGTTAGAATAGGTCTACATCTGCATCTTGGCAAAGTACTGTACCAAGCACAAGTTGTTGTGGAGGAGGCGCTGGAGGTGCTCCCAGCCTTCCTGCTGGATCGCGTGCACCTTGGCCACGTGTGCGAGCAGGTCCGCGTCCGTCACCAGAATGTCCTCGTGCACCTTGAGGAACCGGTTGAGGTACACCTGGACGACCTGGAACTCTTGCCGGCCCTCGAGCATCTCGAGCATGCAGTCGAGGAAGAGCTTGAGATGGCCCTTGCCCTCGACGTCAAAGTCGCCCATGCAGAGCGTGCTCAGCTCCACGTCGACGCCCGACGCCGAGAGACCCTGGAGGTACGCGACCACGAGCGCAAACTGCCCGTTCCCGCCGAGCTGCGGCGCCGTCGCTTCGCCCTGCAGCAAGAGCGACGCGAGCTTGGAGCGCGACGTCGTGAGACCCGTCGACTTGGCAATGCGCGACGTCGGTGCGGCCACCTCTTCCGTGTCGTCGTCGTCATCGCCCCACGCGGCGTCATCGCCATCGCCCCAGCCTTCCATGACCACGTCCTCTTCCGGCTTCTTGGGCTCTTCCTTCGTCGTCTTCTTGGTCTTCTTCACATCGACGGCTTCGAACGTCGGGTGAACGTCGTCCTTGCGCACGGTTGGGAGGAAGAACGGAGCCTTCTCGGGCGCCTTGGGCGCTTCCACGGGCTTGTTGCGGGCCTTGATGAGCTCGAGCTGGAAGAGCGACTGCCACATGGCCTTGGGCGCCGTCGAGAGGCGCACAAATGAGCTCGCTTTGGCATCCAGAGGCGAGACGTACGCCGGCGCCTCGGCCGCAACCTCGTGGACCTCGTTGGACGCCGTCACGACCTGCGTCTCCAGCGGCACGTCGACCTCGCTGAGCGGCACCGGCATGCCCATGAGCACGGGCGCCGACGGCTCCGAGTCGACAAAGACGGTCTCAAAGTAGGCGCGGTTGGCCCAGAGGAAGAGCCCGAGCTGGCCGACGTGGGTGGTTGCGATGAACTCGCCGGTCGGCGACATGGTGACGCTCGTGACTGCGTGCTTGAACTTGATAAAGTCGATGCACTTGCCGGTCGGGAGGTCCCAGACGCGCACCGAGCCGTCCGAGGACGACGAGAGGAGCCAGCGCGCATCGGGCGAGAAGCACACGTCCGTGATCCAGTGCGTGTGGCCGTGGAAGCGACGCACGAGCTTGCGCGTCTGGATGTCGATGACGCGCAGCACAAAGTCGTCGCAGGCCGCGACGATCAGGTTGTTGTCCTTGTGCAGCGCCAGATGCGTGATCGGCGACCCGAGGTCCATCGTCGCCAGGCATTCGTGCGTGTAGAAGTCCCAAAACTTGAGCGTATGGTCCATGCTGCTCGAGATCACGAGTGCGTTGCGAGCATCGACGACGACGCCCGTGACCGACGCGCTGTGCTTGTCGGCCATCGAGTTGTCCGGCGCCGTCTTGTACGACGCGCCCGGCATCGTGAGCGCGCGGATGAGCTTGGCCTTGGGCGTCGCGGCCGTCGGGAACGACCCGCGCTTCTCGCCCGACTGCAGGTTGTACTTGAAGATGGCGCCGCCGACCGACCCGACGAGCGCAAAGTTGCCGCACGAGCTGATCGCGACCGCCGTCGCCTTGGAGTCGAGGCGGCGCTGGTGCTCGATCGAGCCCGGCGTCGTGTGGCCCTCGACCTGCTGCAGCACCTTCTTGCCCATCGCCTTGCGCTCGAGCGTCCAGACGTACGCGGGGACTTCGGATTCATGGCACGTGACCACGTTGCTCCAGTCCTTCTCGCGCGTCTCCATGGCCGCAAACTGCAGAATCGGCGGCAACTTGCGGTCTTCCGAGTGCGAGCTGTGGAGACGCTGCTTCTTGAGCAACGGGCCTTGCGAGAGCTCGGTGCTCTGCTGCTCACGCGCCGTGTGGAAGAGCCGGAACGCGCGGTCCTGGCCGGCCGAGAGGATCTGGCAGATCGTGCCGTCCGTCTTGCGGACCACGTCGTTGCCGTAGTACCGGATCTTGGTCGGCGGCGCCTTGTGGCCCGAGCGCGACTTGAGGAGGCGGCCCCGTGCCTCGAGCTGGTCAAAGATCCAGATCTTGAGCGCGTTGTCGCCGGCCGACGTCAGCAGAAGCGGCTCGTTGGGGAAGAAGACGGTCGACGCGATTGGCGCTTCGTGGGCGCCGAGGATCGTCGACTCCAAGCGCTGCGTCTCGAGGTTCCAGATCAGCACCGAGCCGGACGTCGTGCCCGAGGCCAGCCACGGCGCCTTGTCGTCGGCGCGGAACGAGAGGCTCATGACGCGGCCTTCTTTGGTTTGCGAAAACGTCATGAGGCTCGTGTCGAACTTGAGGTTGTGCAGCACGATGCGGCCGTCCGCGAGGCCGATGGCCACGACGTCGACGGCCGGACTCTGCGCCATCGCCGTCACCTCCGAGCCCCAGCCCTTGAACGCAAAGACGCACTTGAGCGTGTGCACGTTCCAGAGCTGCAGCGCGCCCTGCGTCGAGCCGACGAGCACCTTGTTGAGGTACGTCGACGGGTGCAAGAGGAGCGTGGGCGTAAATGTGGCTTCAAACGTGATGGTTTCGAGCAGCTCGAGGTCCCTGTACCGCAAATATGAGCCCATCAAGAGCTAGACGATGGTAGGACAGGCGTACGTGGTCGACCAGATGCGCATTGTGTTGTCTTCGGCGATCGAGAAGAGGATGTCGCCGACCGCGAGCAGCTGCAGGATCGGCGCCTGGTGCCCAGACAGCACGTGCGTCTCGGTGATGCGGCTAAAGACGTGGATGTTGCGGCCCACCGCGGCGAACGTCCGGTTGTTCTTCAGCACGGTCTGCAGCGCGCGGATCTTCTTGGGCAGCGGCGCCGAGACGGCCACCGGCGTCAGCTTCTCCGTGTCGTAGACCTGGAAGCTCTTGCCGGTCGCGACGGTGATGAAGCCCGTGCGCGAGAGCACGACCGGCACGTCGGAGGCGACGACGCCCAAGGCGCGGAAGCTCTGGAGGACGCGGCTCTGCGTGAACACACTCGTCATCTCAATCTAAGATATCGATGATTGGTCTCGACGGCAAGAGGTGCAAACCAACCAACCGCAGCCCAGCACCCGATCAAGTCCGCTTCCATACAAAACCACTGTGCTTTTGCCAGGCGCACTTTAGCGGAGCCAAGCTCTTCACCGGATGGCACCGATTTGGCGCTAAAACCACCGCCGCCTTGACGCTTGCCAACGGCGTCGCTACCGTGTCTACCGCTTGAAGCTATAGCTCTCCGCAGCGCTGACGGCTCTGTCGGAGAGTTAGGCTGCCCACGCGAACTGCAGTCCGATGCCAAGCCGCTGTCGACTCACTCCATTGTCATGTAGCTGCCACCACGTTATTCGTTTCGATGCAAGCATAACTAGCTAGCAACTAGATACGTACGTAGTCGTTAGTACGCGGGCAAGCCGAACGCGGCAGGGTCGAACGCCTCCATGCTGTCGAGGACGCTGGCGCACTGCGCGACGAGGGCCGGGTCGCGCGCCAAGTTGGCGTCCGGGATCCACACGACCTGCATCTTGGCGTTGAGGCCGGCTTGGACACCGGACGGCGCGTCTTCGAACACGAGGCAGGTCGCGTTGTTGTCGGCGTTGAGCGAACACCCGAGCGCCGTCGCTGCGTGGAGGAAGAGGTCGGGCGCCGGCTTGCCGTGCTGCACCTGCGGGTCGTCGCCGCAAATGATGTGCCCGTCAAAGAGCGCAAAGAGCTCTTGGTTGCGGCTCGACTTGAGCTCGAACGCGCTGCGGTGCGACGACGTGGCGACGCAGATCGGGACACCGTGGGCTTTGAGGTGCGTGAGCAGCTTCAGGACGCCTGGCAGCGGCTTGCAGAACGGAAACTTGGCCGCGTGCAAAGCATTGCGCTCGGCCAAGTAGGCCTCGGGCGTCAAATCGATACCGTAGCTCGCGATGAGGATCTTGGCGGCGTCGTACTCCTTCTGGCCCATCATCTGCGCCTTGACGTCCCACGTAAACTGCTTCCCAAAGCGGCTCAAGATCTCGCTTGTCACCTCCGTGTACACGCGCTCCGTGTCGAGAAGGAGGCCATCCATGTCGAAGAGCACATACTGCACCGCCATCGTCGTCGTCGGGTTCGCCTGTCTTTTTCAAGATGGTGGTCCGGATACAATACATTATCCGGCAATCTTAAAATCGGCATATGTTGCCGAATTGAAACCCAAGTGAAGTGCAATGTGCCACACAATCGTGGCAGCACTGAGAGCTGGCAGAATAAGTTCTATGACGCCGAGGAGCCGATGCCACGAGCGTGGTAGCTAGCTTCATATATCTACTCGGGATTGTTCGAAATGCTCATGCCACAACGTATGTACATGCATTAAATAGGCCACATAGACGCTCAGGTCGCGTGGCGCCACTGCCAGCGCCGGACGCGAACGCCGCCTTTCGGCTCGGTTGTAAACCAGTTGCCTTGGACGTCGACAGTTCCTTTCGGGAGGTCACTGAGCTCCAAGGACGCGAGCATCGGCAGAATCGGCGGGAGCAAAGCTGCGTCGGTGGGGGGGAAGAGCACGAGGCCGCCAAGGGTATCGATGGCCTGGGCGCATGCCTGGATCTGTCGCTCGAGGCGGCGCGCCTGCTTCGTCGACCGGCCGGTCGCAGACGCCTGCATGCGCGCGCAGAGCTTCTCAAAGTCGCTTTGGAGCAGCTCGTGGCGCGAGGCCAGTTGCCGGTCGAGCTTGATCGACGACGACGACGTCACAGATCGCTGCCGACGGCGCGTGCGGGGCGCCGACACCGGCTCGGGCACAAACTGCGTCGCCTCGACTTTGACCTTGGGCGAGAGCGGCGAGTAGTCGGGCTGGAGGCGGCGCAGTAGCGCTTGCTTCTTCTCATTGAACGTCGGACTCGTGAGCGGACTCGCAAAAATGTCCTCACGGACGCGGTTCTTTGTACGCACCAACGCGCGTGATGGGGCGGTGGCTGGCACTGCGAGCGCGGCCGTCGTCGGGGCTGGGGGCAGTACAACTGCGGCTGGCGTCGGCTCGGATACGGGCGCGATTGTGATCGCACCACTTGGCCCTTCGTCGAGCACCACGCCCTTGGGCTTTTTGGGCTTTTTCCGGGGCTTGAGGGGACGGGTGCTGTCGTCGACAGCAGGTGGCAGCTGTGCTTTGGTCTCGTCGCCCAATGCCTCGTCCCGCCGCTTCTTGGCCTTCTTTGGCTTGGCCTCGGGAGCGTCCAAGGTGGGTTTTGCTGCCTTTTTCGATTTCTTAAGTGGCTGGTCGGCTGGAACCAGCTCTGTGTCTGGAAACGCTGCCGACTTGGAGGCTTTCGACCGCGTCGACGAGAGCGCCGACTCGTACGACGCGTGGGACAAGGTCGAGACCTCCGAGAGGTCGTCACCTTCGTACGTCACGTCGCTGTGCGAGACGCGGGGGTCTTTGAGCGACGTGCGGTGCTGCTTGCGATGTTTGGCGATCTTCTTCTTGGTCTTCTTGAGCATGTCGTCGAGTTTGGCTTGGCGCTGGTACTTTTTTCGCTGCTCGTCCTGGAGCCGTCGCTGGAGGAACGCGCGGCCGTAGTAGTCGCCGGCCGCGGCGTCCACGAGGAGCTCCCTCCAGAGCTCATACTGCGTCTTGGCGTCAAACTCGAGGCTAATGACCTTGGCGTGCACAACCAGCTGGATCGACGGACTCGCGAGCGTGGCCGCCGCCCGGGCTTGGCTGCGCGGCGAGAGCAAAACGCCGTTCCCGGCCGCCGAGTCGTACCCGACGAGGACGTTCTCGAGGTCCAGCATGCGCACGCGGGCTTCGAGGAAGCGGCAGTCACCGTCCGTGAAGAAGAGGAGGTCGCCGGACGTCAAAAACAGGATGTAGTACCGCTGATAGTGCGACTCCTTGCTCTGCCCGTGCTCCAGCTGCACGATGGACCAGTCCTCGGCCACGATCATGGACCGCGGGATGGTGGCGCCTAGCGCGCGCTCGAACGACGCTTTCGCATCATCCGCTTCAAAGACGAGCATGTAGACGAGCGCCGGGGTCACGAGCGCGACGGGCAGCTGCAGCGTCGCGCCGTCGCCCGCCGAGTACGATGGCAGCGAGGCAATGCCCACGACGTCGTGCAGGTGGATACAGCCTTTGGACGTGTGCTTGGGGCGCTCGTCCTTGAAGTAGTAGAGGCGGTCGCGGTCGAGGCGACCGAAGCGGCGCTTGTAGCCGCGCTTGAGCAGCCCGTTCTAGCCGCGCATGAGAGACGAAGTGGCATAGGCGTGATCTCTACCTTGTAGATGTGTAGCCATCCGCTCCACGCCGGGTTCTTGACCCGCTTGCCCTTCTCGTCGACGGCCTTGGCCAGCGACTGCCCCATCTTCCGCCGATTGTGATGACGAAAGGCGTGTGTGCCAAAAATAACAAGCAGCTAAATGTGGCATGTGCCGAATTCCGTAGCCACAAACGCGCAGGCGAGCATGTACCGCGGCAGCAGCAACAACAGCAACGCGAAGATTCCGTGCCGCTTCTACAAGCAGGGCACGTGCCGCAACGGCAACAACTGCCGCTTCGCCCACGACAACGGCGTACGTACGTGGCCTCGGCGACTCGGCGCTCACGTGCTCTAGGGCGGCGGCGGCTCGAACGCGTACAACCACCGGTCCAACCCGAGCGCCAGCCCGTTTGGCCACTCCAACAACAACAACCGAAGCAGCAGTAGCCCGTTTGGCCAGTCGAACAGCAACAACAGCAGCAGTAGCAGTACCAGCCCGTTTGCCAAGCCCTCGACGAGTCCCTTTGGCGGCGGCGGCGGTAGCACCAACCCGTTTGGTGGTGGCGCACCGGCCAACAATCCGTTCGGCGGCGGTGCATCCTCGTCTCCATTCGGTGCGACGACGTCGACCTTTGGCACCACGTCGACCTTTGGCGCGACGTCGATGGTTGGCGGTGCGGCGGCGGCGGGCACTGGCTTTGGGCAGTCGCCTTTTGGCGGCGGCGCTCCTGCCGCTCCGTCGACATCGCCCTTTAACGGTCTGGGTGCGACGTTTGGTGCGCCTTCGACCATGGGCGCGTCGGCCTCCCCGTTCAGCTCCAACGCCAGCGCCTTTGGCCAGACAAGCGCCTTTGGTCAGACGACCGCTTTTGGGTCGACGGCGCCGGCGTCCAGTCCGTTCGGCGCGCCCCCTGCTACCTCGTCGGCATCTCCGTTTGGTCAAGGTAGTGCGGCGTCCTCGAGCCCTTTTAGCCAGCCGTCGACGCCAGCGAGTCCATTTGGCCAGCCACCGCCGACCTCGGCAAGCCCGTTCGGAGCTGCGCCGGCCGCGTCGCCCTTTGGCCAAGCGCCCGGTGGTACTCCCAGCAGTCCGTTCGGCCAGCCCAATGCGTTCAATCAAACTACGACTAGCAGCCCGTTCGGGAGCACGACGTTTGGTCAAGCCACCAAGAGCCCGTTCGGGCAACCGCCGAGCAGCTCTCCGTTCGGGCAGTCGTCAAGCAGCTCTCCGTTTGGCGCCAAAGACTCAAGCGCCGGGAAGCCCGCCAACACGATCCCCGACTTGCCCGACGCCGCTGCGAAGAAAGCCACGCGGGTTAAAGCCCTCGGTACGCGACCTCTTTCTTAGCGTTATCTTACAGTGGGCGTAGACACGTCGGACGTTGCGTGGGCCAAGACGCAGTTTGAGGCGCCGGCGTTCGTGTACGGCAGCGTCCCCGTCGTCGCGCCGCCCCGTGAGCTCTGTTAGATCGTAACCAACAAACGACGCGGTACATAATTATTAACTACTATGGGCTAGCTCTCGTCGAGAATGTCCTTCATAATGTCCTCGTCGATGTCATCTATTACTAACCTAAACCCATCGAGATCAGTCAGCATCCCACGTAGACGCAGCGCGTGTACCTGTCGGCGGCGCGGACGGGCGGCGACAACCGTGCTTGTACCGGCGGTGACGGCCGGGCTTGTGCTTGTACCGGCGGTTCTGTGCTGCGCGGGCTCCGGACTTCGACCATTTTGAGCGGCGGCCGAGCCACCTCAAAGTCGTCGTTGAAGAACTCGTCCGTGACGTCGTCGAGGTTGAGATCGCTCTGGACGCGCGGCAGCGGCGCTTCGACCTCGGCCTTGGGGGTCTGCGAGAAGACATCAGTCAGGGAATATTGCTCTGTCGTAAGCGCAGTACATGGGTGCGGGTGGACGACTGCGGTGTCGACACTGGCACGGGGGGTACCTGCGACTCGTCTTGCGCGGCGTGGGGCACCTCGATTGCCGGCATCTTGTCGATTGTCTTGAGTCCTTTCAGGTCGATTGGGGCCAAGACGCGCGCCGAGTGGTGCCGAATCGGCGGCTCCACGTCGGCCTCGACCACGGCGGCCGCCTTGACCCGGGACTTGCGCTTCATCTTGGCCAGCGGCGAGTCTTTCTTCTTCTTCGTTTCAGTCTCGTCGTCCTTGTCTGGTTTCACAGGCTTGTCTGGTTTGGCGGGCTTTTCTGGCTTGGAGGCTTTGCCAGGCTTTCTGTGGACAGCTGGCGACTCTTCAAAGAGGACTTCCTCGTGGTGGTGATGGTGGTGGTTGTGGGGCAACTGCTTCTTGCTCGGCTTCTTTGTTTCCTCGACCTCGTCGTCGTCATCCTCGTCCTCATCCGAGCTCTCGTCCGAGCTAAAGTCAAACTCGGCCGGGTCGCCGTCCTTGGCACTCGCCTTCTTCTGCGTCTTCTTCTTCTTCAGTGCTGCCTTCTTGTCCGGCTTTTTGTGGTGCTTCTTGTGCCGTGTCGTGATCTGGTTCTTCGCCGCCGCCGACTCGACGAGGCGCGCTGTGGACGCCGCCGAGAGCCGCCGATCGGCTTTGACCAAGTTGCGCTCCGAGCCCGCGTCGGCCACGTCGAAGGGCACGACGTCGTTCTCCTTGGTCAACGACAGCGGCTTGGCCGCCTTGTTGCCCATCGCGCAGGGGTTATACAAAGCTAAAATTAGGAAAAAGGCTGTTAGATAAGTTATTCGTGTTTAAACTACTATGGTACTATGCTTGCAACGCCGCGGCCTTGAGAAAGTGCAGCGTCTGCGCTTCGACGAGGTCGACGTCGGGCGTGTCGAAGCGCTCGCAGAGCTTGACGAGGTTCAGAAGGTAGTGCTCGAGCTCGCCGCACATGCCCTTGATGACGAGCATCTCGGTCTTCTTGAAGAGCGGCTCCTTTGGACACGGCAGCGACGAGAGCGCCTTGGTGAACTCGGTGCAGTGCTGCTTGGCGATCGAGAGGAGCTGCGCGTGCAGCTGCAGAATGTCGTCCATGGCGGTCTGCGAGACCCACACTTCGTCGGCGACGCGGACCTTGATGTGGTAGAGGACTTGGAGGCTGGAGAGGAAGGTGCCTCGCCGCTTGACGACGCTCGTGCCGCGAACGCAGCAGCGCAGCGACTGCTTCTCGGACGACGACAGCGAGGACCGCAAGAGAGGAAGCATCGAATGCGAGGTGAATACAAATGTGCACATATTTCCCGTCACATTATTCCGCACGAGATGTGGCGCGCGTCTTGGTTGGCCGGCGCTCAACCCGCGCGCTTTCGAGACGCGAAAATGCATATTTCGGAATTTATTCTACTGGATATTTGTATAGTACCGTGTCGGCATAGATTAAGGAAGGTTAAAATTGCATATTTTTGTGCGAGCGAGGGCTGTCGCAGGCGCCGGCAGTAACACGACTCGCCGATGTGGCATCTGCGCCGTGACCACACAGTGGCGTCGACGTCTGGGTGAGATGCCAGCTACACCGTCGGTTCTGGGATGCGGCGCGAGTCGAAGGATTGTGTGGCCATTGGCGCTCTACTGCATAGTGTATTATTAAAAAGGAGGATCTTGGAGGGCGCGCCCGCGACAAGGCGCTGACGTGACTCCGGACCGACACGACTCGCGCCAGAGTTACCACCGGTGCAATCCATCACCTGAGCGTACTGTGTAGTTCCGGTAGTGGCATAGTGCACTGTACTGCAAAGCTACTGTATGAAGTGCCACGTTGTACAACGAACGCCGGTAGGACAAGGGCTGGGCGGCCTTGGTGGGACCATGCATTCGCGAAGAAGCAATGTGCGAATCGAGTGCAACGGGGGTCGCATTGACTGTACAAGGTGTCTTTGACTTCTATTATTTTGGACTAGGATAAATCAGGACGCTTCGGCTCATGCGCTGCTCTCGTTGAACGTGATGAGCTCGGACGTGGTCTCGACGAGCGAGTCGGGGAGGTTGTCGGCGCCGAGGAGTGGTCGGAACTCGCGGTAAATCGCTTGGATAAACGCCTCGATGTTGTCCGAGTAGCAAGTGAGGAGCATCTCGAGGAGCGACACCACTCCGCGGTTGCCGTCGTCGCTGCCCGGCGACGGCGGCGTCCCCGGCACGTGGATCGCGGGGACGTAGACCTTGCGGTACATCTTGCAGCGCGACTGGGTCTCGGTGAGGTACTCGCTCGTTATATATAAGGTCTCGCGGGACCGCAGCACGCCGCTTGTCGGCAGCGACGTCTCGTCGTCGTACATTGAGTTGATGACGACCGCAAATTGCTTGGGAAAGGTGTAGCCCTTGGCGGCAAACTCGGCGTGGATCTCGGGCAGCCCCGGCATGGTGGTGACGCGGCGGAAGAGTTGGCCCGTGCCTTCAAAGATTTCGATGGGCTCAACGTAGCCGTTGGCCGTGCGCCGGGGCTCACGCACCGTGACGACCCGCTCGAGCGCCCTTCCCAGCAGCTTGTACGGCGCGTTGACCACCATGCTCACCGAGACGTCGAGGGCCACGTGGCAGCCGTCGTTGCGCACGACGATTTGCTTCCACGTGTCGGCCGCGTCGAGGAGCCCGTGCTTCTTGAAAACGTCGTTGAGCTGACTCACTTGGGCGTCCATGAGCTCGGTGAACTGTGCGAGGCGGCGGTGCGGCTCTTTCGAGAGCGGCGCCATGGGACCTTCAATACCAGGCATGAGCGGCCAGCTGGTCAGCGTCGGGCGCTCGGCCAAGACGCCTTGGAGGTCGGCGAGGATCGCTAGCTGCTGCGTGAGCACGTTCTTGAGCTTTGTGTTTTCGATCATCGACTCTTGGCGCTCGAGCGCCTGGCGCCGGGCAAAGCCTTCCCACACCGACTTGCTCGTGCGGTGGCGCTTGGCCTTCTCGAGACTCTCGATGCGCTCGGAGAGTTCTTGCCGCTTGCGCGTCAGGAAGGCCATCTCGTCGTTGTAGCGTGCCTTGGCGCGGTCATGGCGCAGCTTGCGGTCGCTGGGCGGCTTACCGCCGCTGCTGGCCGGCGACGTCGGCTTGGGCTCGTACGCCGGGCTCGGCGCCGGGTTGAGGAGCGAGTGCAACGAGAGCACGGCCGTCGTGTTCATCCTGCGCGGATTACGTAATGAGCTTCCAAATGGAACTCCTATCGCTGCTCCTTGCTGGCGGACCGAGCCAAATCCGCGTGCTACGGTATTACGCCGTCGTTTGGCATATAAATTGTAGCTTGCCTTTACAAGATTGTTCCACGTTACTTGCCCGATGCTTTTACCTGGACACAAAGGGAAAGTAACGCGTTAAATGCGTACAATGTGTTGGTACAGTGAAAGGGCGTACGAACGGGTGTCAGAACCTTGCCGGCGTGTTTACCCAAAACCTTATCTTTGCCGCGCCCACTGTGGCGCCGCATCAAGAAGAAGCTTTGCGACGTGCACCCAGCAGCTTCCAGGTGCGAATCCAACGCAGTCTAGCTCCCAGTCGCGACGTGTACGAAGCCGCGCTCGCTTTGGCCACAACGCAGGGGGGCGATCGTGTCAGCGTCCGTCCGAGGGCCGACCAACTGATTACGATGCCCCCGCCGGCGTCGAATCTGCGTCCAGATTGCCTCTCTCCCACACGCGTCGGACCTTGCTGCGACGTCGTCTCGTCGTCGAATGTATTCGATACAATCTACTTGCTTTTTGTATGCATTTTCAAAAAAAGCGCCAGGAGGTGATGGCCGGCGACCAGGCTCACCATCACGTTGACGCGATGCTTTGTCGGTCCGAGTCGAGAGAAAGGGCAGCCATTACGCATGTGTGGTCAGCACACCATGCAATCCGCGCGCGACGCCGGCGACGAGCATGCGGAGCCGACGATGACCAAGTATGCGGAGCCAGCGACGATGACCAAGTATGCGGAGCCGCCGCCGAAAGATCGGGCGAACCGTACACTGATGGAGACACGAGATCCAGCGCGATGAGGTGATCATCATTGATAATTATGGTTGAAGGTGATTAAGTCGCCTTGGGACTCGACGAGGTCGCGCGGCGACCGCAGCACTCGGTGCAGCGCTTTCGTCAACACCTCGATCGAGTCGCCGTAGCACGAGAGGAGCTTCTCGACAAGGTCGCCACCCGCATTCGCATCGAGCGGGATGTGCACGTGTCGGAACGACTTCCAGCGGGCGTCGCCGCCTTCGCAGCGCTCGACTGTTGTAAAGATGACGTCGCGGACGATGACCGTGTCGGGTGGCAGCGGGAAGAGGGCGTCGTGGCCAATCGCTTGCTGCACAAAGGCGTGGCCTCCGTCGACACTCCGATAGCTCTTGGTCGCAAGGTGTGTGTTGATTGCGCGCTGCCCTGGCACCGCGTACACGCGCTCAAGCAAGTGCGTAGTCGCGTCAAACGACTCGAGCAACTAGAGTGGACGTAGGACATGATGATGGTGACGAAGGAAACGCGCACCTGCGCGGAGCCGTTGCTGACGACGCGGCGCTGGGCCGGCGCAAAGATTTCGCAGAGCGCGTCGCCGACGGCGCTGGGTGAGGCATGCACGAGGAGGTTGTACGAGATCTCGAGTGCGATCTCGTGGCGGCCCTGGCGCACGACGATCTGCTTCCACGTGTCGAGGGACGACGTCAGCCCGTGCTTTTGGTACGTCGCCGGCAGCTGCGCAAACTGCTGGTCCAAGACCGCGTGGACTGTGGCGCGGCGCGCGCTCGGGTCTAAACTGAGGCTCACGACAGCGCTCGGGTCCAACGACGGCAGCTGCTACACATAGCGCGTCAGATCGGCGGACTTGAGTGTACCATGGCGTCGTACGAGGAGGTCGTGCCGGTCCTGCGCGAGGACGCCTTGGAGGCGCTGGAGCAGCTCCATGTGCAACTCGATCTGGTGCTTGAGCTTTGTGTTTTCGCGCAGCGCTTCTTGGTGCTCGATGACTTGGCGCCGCGCAAAGCCTTCCCAGACCGACTGCGACTTGCGCGGGCCAGCGCGCGCCGTTGTCAGCGCCTCGAGCTGCTCTGTGAGCTCGGCCAGCTTGGCGCGGAGGGATGCAACCTCGTCGTCGTAGCGCTGCTTGGCGCGCTCGTGGCGCAGCTTGCGGTCCGAGGCCGCGGCGTCCGGGTTGAGAAGCCCCGCGATCTTGCCCTGTCGCGGCATGGCCACACTTGAATACTCCGGAGTAATGCCAACTGATCCGGCTCTCTCTACCAGTCACGCAGCTGGCCTGATACGGGACCAGTCCTCGGGCGCCACAATCGTCCTCCGGGCGTCGTACACATCGCGTCAACCTTGGGTTGTACGATCGAAACAGTGTTGATCTAGTAGAGCTTATAGTTATCTTAGCCTTCGTACAAAAGCCATCGCAGTTGGTGGTTGTCCTGCGTTTTGGTTCGGGCGAGCGACTGCACGACGCTCTCGAGCGCATCAATGACGTTGTCCATGCTGGCCGCAAAGGACGCCATGAGCTCGCGCTGCAGTTCTCCCAGCGCCGGCGTGTCGCGTACAGGCGGCGGCAGGCGCACGCAGCGAAACATCTTCCACTGGCAGACATCGCGGGTCGCAAACTCGAGCGCTTCGTACTTGGTCTCTGTGTACGGCACGTCGCAGTGATCGGCTTCGATCGTCTGCTCGACAAAGACAATGCGGTCGTGGAGCGCGGTGCACTTGCGCGCGAACCGCCGCCGGTACGTCTCACCAGCGACGCAGTGCACATGTTGGCCAATGTGGCACGACGCATCCAGAATTTCAAGAATCTAAAACAGTGTAATGAGCTATCGCATCTCGACGGTATCAATAAGCTTACCTCGATCGAGCGGTTCTCGACGTGGAGCGGTTGCTTGGGCGTGTAAATGCAGCTCATGGCGTCGCCCACGTCGGCGAAACCCGCGTGGACGGTGAGGCAGGTCGAGATCTCGAGCACGATATCGCCTGTCGCGGTATCGACACGCGATACGATTTGCTTCCACGAGTCGTGCTGGCAGTCGAGCCCGTGCTTGCGGAAGGTCGACGGCAGCAGCGCGCGTTGGGCGTCGAGGCGCTCGTGCAGCGTCACGTTCGACCAGTTGCGCGGGAGCGCGACGTGGTCAAGGACGAGGTCGTCGTCCATATGTGGCATCGTCGCCGGCTCGACGACCGCGCGCAGCCGAGCAAGGACGTCGGCGTGGTGCTGCAGTACCTTCTTGAGCTGCGCGTTCTCAAAGACGGCGGCCTGGCGCTCGAGGGCCTGGCGGCGCGCAAAGCCTTCCCAGACCGACTTGCTCGAGCGGAGCTTGCGCGCGTACTCGAGTGTCTCGAGCTCCATCGTGAGCGCATACTGCTGGCGGCGCAGCGCGTCCATCTCGGTCTCGTAGCGGACTTTGGCGAGGCGGTGGCGGCCCTTACGCTCGACCGAGCTCTGCGACGGCGTCAGCGGGTTCAAAAGCGCCTCCATGACGCCAAATCAATTCTGTCCAATGCATCGCGAGACAGACGGCGATGTCAGATCCGGCAACCTGCTCGGTGGGACAAGCGCAACGTATCTCGCCAATGACTCAGGACGCCGCCGGCGTAGTCAAGTCGCGCTGGATCTCATCGCTGGATCTCAATAACGTAACAATGATACGGAAACCATTTTTTTTAGTGCGTTGGCGACAGCCTTGTCTGGTTGAGTTGAATGAGCTCGCCCGCCGGCTCGACGAGGTCCGAGTTGGGTGCGAGCCCTGCGACGCCCGGGAGCACGTCCCGCATGCGACCCATGAGGATCTCAATGTTGTCCGAGTAGCAGTGCAAGAGCAGCTCGACGAGCGCGCCGATGGGGACCGGCACCTGCGCCGTGACCGACGCCGGAATGTGCACGCGGCGCACCATCTTCCAGCGCGATTGCGTCGCATTGAGCGGCTCGGCGCTCGCGTAAATGTGCTCGCGGGACCGCAGCGCCTGCGGAGGGTACGGCACCAGGTCGTCGTCCATGACCGACGCGAGCACAAACTTGGCGTGGTCTTCATCTAGGCGCGCGCCCCGACAAGCAAAGTGGGCGACCACTTCCGGGAGGTTGGTGATGGCAAAGATGCGCTGGATGTAGACCGAGTGCGGATCGAATCGCTCGAGAAACTAAAAACTCGCACATTGGACTAGAGAATATGGTGCGAATGCGTACCTTGACCCGGCCGTTGCGGACTCCCAGATCTTCAGCAGGGATGTAGATGATGGTCATGGCGTCGGCGAGGACGCGGGCGGGGACGTGCACGACCAAGCTGAAGCTCACGTCCAGCACGACCTCGTGGGTCGCCTCGTCCATGCGCACGACGACCTGCTTCCACGTGTCGAGCGTGTCGATGAGCCCAAACTTGCGGTACGTCTCGTCGAGGCGGGCCAGCTCGAAGGTCATGACGCGCTCAAACTCGGCCGCGCGCGTCGCCGGGTCCTTTGGGAAGCGCACGATCGATGCGTCGTTCGTCGGCAGCACCGGCCACGTCTAGACCTTGATGTGAGACGGATGGCAGATCGAATGGCACGTACGAGAAGCTGCGGGCGCTGCGAGAGGACGGCTTCGAGGCCCTTGATGATCGAGAGCTGCTGCGTGAGCACGCCCTTGAGCTTGGAGTTTTCGAGCTGCGCCTCTTGGCGCTCGAGCGCTTGGCGCCGGGCGAAGCCTTCCCAGACCGACGCCGTCGACTCTGTCTTGCGCTTCTTGGAGCGCTCGAGGCCGTCGAGCTGGCCCTGGAGCTCCTTGCTCTTCACCTGGAGGTACGAGACCTCTTCCATGTACCTCGCCTTGGCGCGGTCATGGCGCCGCTTCCGGTCGTTGGGCTCCTTGGCGCCGTCGGAGCTTGTGTTGCCATCGCCGTCCTCGGTCGGGTTCAGGAGCGACTTCAATGAGAACATGATGGCCAAAGGGTTACTGTCGGATCATCCGGTCGCCCAATGTCAAGCCATGCGGTCCGAAACGGTCCCAAAATAGGCCATCTGGATCAGGATAGTTCCGAAACGTCCGTGGCAAATCCAGGCTCTCGATCTGCCCGGATCACATGTCATGAGGCATCGCTCGGGGAGCACTGCTAGCATGAAGCTAGCGACGAAAGGGGGCTATTGCATTGCTCTTGCTGTCGTTGTGGACCCTCCTGCGCTTGGAGTCAGTTATACGATCTACTAAACCGAGCGGGCTCTTAAAGCACTTTGAAACTGGCTTTGCACGACCAGAAATCCGGAATAAGCCAAATGAAGAAGCCAGCGGCGGTGCAATGGCAGGGCACAAGCAAGAGATACGTGGCGACGACCGAGCTCTCGCTGTCGTTGTTAATCAATCGACGCGTCTAGTCGACTTGTGACTCCAAGTACGCACTTGCGAATCGACATTGGCGTGTGATTGGTCGAAATTGCCGGATAATTCGGCAAAGACGCGCGTTTGATTGGCCGTGTTGTCGACCGCAATGCCCATTTCGCACCGACCGATTGACTAACAAGTTCGAGGAAGGAAGCTCGATGGCGCTGCTAATGACATGGGGCGAGACCCGCGCCATGAACGGGCTCTTCGATGGCATGTACACGTCGTACGTCGTCCTCATCGTTGTGCTCTACGTCGTCGTCAAGTTCGCCCTCCACGAGATCACGTACGGGACTGCAAGCGACCATCGATGGTCACCACCCTGCGTAGCCCACCGCGCAGCGAGAAGGAAGCCAGCTCGAAGCGGTCGCGCGAGATCGACAACAGCGTGCTCTACCCATACGGCGTGGCGGAGATGCAGGTGCGCTTGCCGTTGTCATCAAAGCCTTCAAGCCGCTGCGCGTAGGGCAAGCGGCCGTACATGGAAGACCGCTACGTGGCCGTGGGCACGCTCAACGGTACGCCTTGCGCGACTATGCATTGCTCGATGCCATGGCGCCCAACGTAGGCGACGCGACGGCTTCGTTCTATGGCGTCTTTGACGGCCATGGCGGCGACGGCGCGTCCGAGTACTGCGCCGAGGTGCTCTGCAACAACGTGATCCAAGACCCGATGTACGCCAAGTACCCGAAGGAGGCGCTGACCAAGGGCTTTCTGCGCACGGATGAGGATGTACGACGCTTGCATCAGGAAGAACCGTACTTTGACCTATTGGGCTAGTACACGCAAGTCGCCAACCGCCGCAACCGCGACGACGGCACGACCGCTGTCACGGTGCTCGCGCAGCGCGACACGATCTACGTGGCCAACGGTGCGCCCTCTTTTCATATCTCGGAGCTGACAACGAGCGCAGTCGGTGACTCGCGGGCCGTTCTCATCAAGAAGGACGGCGACGCCATCGCCCTCTCCAACGACCACAAGGTACGCGCCTCTCCGATCTGTGTCGTCTTAGCTGCCTGTAGCCCAACCGCCCGGACGAGCGCGAGCGCGTCACCAACATGGGCGGCCACGTCATTTTCTGGGGCGTCTGGCGCGTCGAAGGCATCCTGGCCGTCTCTCGGTACTCTGCAAATCTGCAGTGCATTGCTGATTCGGGGACTAGAGCGATCGGTGACCGCATGCTCAAGCCCTACGTGATTGCCGAGCCCGAGATCACGGAGCACGAGCGCTGCGCCGATGACGCGTACCTCGTCCTCGCCTCGGACGGCGTGTGGTAGACGACGCCGCTGCAAGTGCCCACTGGATTCATTCTTCCTTAGGGACGTGCTCTCGAACGCCGAGGTGGCGCGCATGGTGCTGCAAGCCGACTCGATCCACGTACGTGAGCCATCTACGAGAGGCGTACATACGAGCACGATATCTGTAGCTGGCCGCCAAGACCATCATGGAGAGCGCGTATCAGCGCGGCAGCCTCGACAACATTTGCGCGATGGTGCTCGATCTGCAACCCAACGGCAGCCCTGCGCCAAAGAGCCCCAAGGTGTCGTCCGGCGGGCTCACGGAAGTGCTGCAAGCCGACGACGACGAGGACGAAGAGGACGACGCGACAATGACGGGTGCCGATGGCATGGTCACGGCGCCGCTCGACTAGATGAGATCGCATTACCCACTAGGTTCATATAGGAGTCGTATATTGAAGAAGAATCAAAGAGCCGCAGGACCCAATTCTCTCATTCGTCGTCGTCATGCTGCGGCTTGAAGAGCAGCTCATGCCGGAACCGGTCCGGCACGACGCCGCCCTGGGTGAAGACAGCCTCGGTCATGAAGCGCTGCGCCTTGAGCCCGTCCTGTTCTTTCGTCCACTTGGTGCGAATCACTTCCATCTCTTCGGGCGCCGGGCAGTTACCCTTGAGCTCCCGCGGCGCCGCAAACTCGGTCGGCGTTGCGCTGTTGGCGTGCGTCGACCGCTGCAGCGAGATCCACGTCGACGGCGACGCGTCACGGTCCGCGCCCACAATGTTGTTGTAGTCGTAGCGCGGGTTCATGCTCGGCTGGAGGCCCGCGCCGAAGGCCGGGCGCGGCGCGCCGTGGTTCATTTGGTCTTGCGTCGACGTGACGTACATGGCCGACGAGAGGCCCTTAGCCTTGGGCACGCCCGGCCGGTACGCCTCCTCGACAAAGTTGCCCACGAGCGTACTGCACTCGTACGACCGCTTCCCGCCCCGGAGGATGTTGGAGCCGCCGCCGCTGTGCCGGTTGATGCTCATCGAGGTCTGTTGCAGAAATGGAGCTATTTTCAGCATCCGTCGCATTTACCGGCAGCCTCGCCCAGCAGCAGCATCTGCCACGCAAGACGAGGCCAATATCAAGCTCTTCTTCTTCCTCCTCCACCGGCGACCTCAGCAGTACGTGGCAAAGCTACGTGGCAAGCCAGCAAGGGTGGTGTTGCCAAGGGTACTTGATCGAAGGGTTTAATTTTAAAATGATAGCTCTCTCACAGCAAGGTATTATTTTAAAACAACTGCCGAAAGTGATTTAAATGAAGGGTGGCAAGGTCCATGTGCCTTGGATTTTGTATAGGAATACCTTTATGAAGGGCCTTCATTAACGTAGCGCGGGTTGCCACGTAGCGCACTTTCCGAAAAACGCCCAAGTCCAAAATGCTCAACGTGTCGCTGCCGCAAGCCATCTTCCTCCCGCCGCTGCTCATCATCCTCGCGTCCATCTCGCTCGTGACCTTCCAGAACCTCTACTCGACGCTCACGGCCTGTACGCACCTCGCTTGCCCATGGAGGCTCATGCTGCTGCCTGTAGATGCCACCAAGTACTCGTCCAACGACATCATCAAGACCCTCAAGCCTGGTACGCATGCTGCTACGTGGCTTGCCTCATGGCGCGCATTAGGGCTCGTCCAGGTCAAGAACTTTCTCGAGCACGTCCTCGGGAAGGCGTCGGCCTTCAAGTTCAACCTCCAGCACGTGCTGCTCATGGTCATTGTGTTTGTGCTGATCGCCATCTTCAACGAGCTTTCGCAAGCCAACGCGCTCAAGGAGAAGGAGCTCAAGCTTCTGCGCGCGGCCAACAAGAAGGCTGCGGACGACGAGGCCAAGAAAACCAAGTAATTCACATCGGCTTTCTTCACGGTTTTACGGCGTGGGATACGACTTGAGCTCTAAACGAGCTCCTCCACACGCAACTACTGCAGCTTCCCAGACGGCGTCTTTGGGATCGTCTTGGAGCAGCACGACGTTGGCGCAAGGCAGGCGGTTGCGCAATGGACGCGCAGAGCGACGCGTTCGTGGCGTGCGCTGGACGTTCTCCTTGAGCTCAGCCACAACGACGACCGCATCGTCCAGTGCACATACCGAAATGCAGCCGGGACGCTCGCCTCGATGATCTGGGGCAGACGACGCGGCGGTCTAGTGTAGGGATGCGCTTGAGACGAAGTAGAAGCGCCCGCAGCGGTGGAGGAGCCCGACGCCTTGATTCCTTTTCATCCATCAGCATCTCGCCTCTAGTGCGCAGGCACATGGGAACGGGCTCGCGTCTCGTCGTCGCGCTGCCAGTAGCCCTTGGTGATGCTGTCGCCCGCGAGCCAGATCGAACAGAAGGAGTGTAGCCGGGGGTACCCACACGGCGTGGGCGCAACAGTACTTTCGTACCCCGGGGCATGGTTTTGGGCGCTTTTTGCGTTCGAGCGCGTGGCGATCGATTTAATCGTATGACCGAAAAGTTGGCGTCGTTTCCGAAGGTAGCGTCGTTTCGAGTGCAATGACGTGGGGAATTCCAACGCTCAGAAGACCGCAGCGACGCACGGGATGCTCAGAAGACGAAGACGCCAAGCAACTAGTACATTAGTACACTGCAGTTGAACTCTGCGGTTGTTTCAGAAAGCGAGCTGGATTTCGCGCCCAAATGCATTCGACAGCGTTGCACAAAAGCCCCTCGATGAGCAGTCCCTTACCCTTGCCCAAGAGTCTTGGACACGGGTGAATAAGACATTTCTTGTTGTCCTTGGGCGCAAGCCGAGCACATCAACTTGCCGTCGGGCGGTAATGCTGAGCAGCGAGGGTGAGCAACTTGCAGTGTCGTTGTGATAATTCCATCACAGACAAATTTTGGCGCTCGTGCCGCTCGGTTGTTGCATTCTGTGAGGATTGTTGTGAGTAACATGGCTCACGCTCTGAACAGCGCTCTGAGCTTATAGACTCCGTACGACAAACTGCTCGCGGAGCCTCGACAAGCCTTGACGAGCGCCGGTGCTCTCCCTACGCATTGGTCGCGTCTTGCTCGTCACTGGGTGTAGGAAATGGCCAACGTTCAAGGCCGCAACGTGCATCACAGTCAGTCGACCCTCTGCGTGACGGCTCGGTTCCTCCGTCCATACCTTCCTCGGGAGAGATGTTACAACTCACGTGGCTGCATCTCCACGGTAAAAAGCCCTGCAAATTCGCTGGATATCTCTGCATCGGCCGCTACTCACCACCACGCGGTACGTCGATGCGCGCAGGTTTTACCCATTTGACGTGCTCCGTCCATGCGCTCTGCCCTGCACGAACAAACGTCCATACAAACACCAAGAGAGCCACGACGTCCTCGATCAAGATCCCAAGTTGCACTTTCTCAAACTGCACACGGGGTCGGACTCACACGTTGGTCGCAACACTGTGCAGCATTTAGCAATTTCCCTCGCACCATGAAGACGTCTTTTGTTGCTGTCGCCGTGGTCGCTGCGCTCGCCGCCTTTGGTGATGCGGCTCCGATGCAAGCCGGGTCGTGCGCTGCGGCCAAGTGCCCACCCGTCGGCGGCAACTTTTGCTCGGCGTCGTCCGTGTCACCGGCGGCATTTACGACCAACTTCAAGAACGAGTGCGAGTGCCTCAAGGCCAAGTGCCTGGACAAGAAGGTGCAGTGCTACGCCAAGGCGCCCAAGTGCGACCCCAAGGCGCTCCTCGAGCTCAAGGACCAGGCTGTCACAAGGATCTCGCCGGTCTGCGCCTCGAACGGCGTCACGTACGACAACTACTTCCAATTGAAGGTCGGCCGCGCGCTCGACCCATCGATTCAGTTTCTCATCACGGGCAAGTGCCCGACGACGATCGCCAAGTGCGTCAAGAAGAAGTGTCCGTCGACGCGCGAAAAGATCTGCGCGCTCGAAGCGGCGGGGAAGGCGCCCGTGTTCTACCAGAACCAGTGCTATTACGACATTGGACTCTGCCTCAACCCCAAGCTCACCGTCTCCAAGGTCTGCCCCAAGTCCAAGAAGACCAAGTCGCTCTCGGCCGACGCCAGCTTTGCGCTCACTGCTGGCGGCAACGAGACGACGACCGCGCCGACGCCCGCTTCGGGCTCTGGCTCGAGCAGCGAGGAGGACGAACCGGCGGGCGACGAGATTGTCTGGTCGGACGCGGACGAGTTTTACGTGGGCGAAGACCTCATGGCGCAGTTTGAATCCAACACGACGGGCTCGGGCTCGAGCAACGGCACCATCACGACGCCAACCAACAAGACGACGACGGCGCCGAACACCAAGCCGAGCTCGGCCGCAACGACGATGGTGTCGCTCACTGCGCTCGCTGTCACTGCATTGGCCCTTGTCTAACTGTCTATAAACTAATCTCTCTCTTCTTGCGTGGGCAGTCTTATCAACGGGTCACTGGGGACGCCGATGAGCCGCCACGACCGGATCGAACCCAGCTCTGGATGAAAACAATGTTGCGAGGCGAGATGCGAATACTGTGAATGAGCTGTCGACCGGGCCACTCGGGCGTAAATTGACGTCTGTCAGGATTTGCTCCAAGCTTGGAGAGGCTGCTCACGCACCTCGGAATCTTCCTCATGAGAAAGTCCAAACGAATCCAACTGTGAGTGACGAGTGCAATGCGTGTCTACGCTCATACAAGACGCAAGTCTAAACGACCCGATCAAAACGCCTCGGTTGGTTGGTGCGAGCTTCGTCCGAGGACTGTTAGGAAGAGGTGGCAACACGCTGCGGCTCGGCGTCCAGGCGGCAGTACATGCACCCGCTCGTTTCAGCAACTTGTTCCCGTTGTTCCGCTTCTCCAAAAGGAAATATGCTCGTGGGAAAGAGGCTCTTCGCCGATCCCACTGCTCGCAACCCGGACAAAAGATCTGATTGTTGGGCGCCACAACCCTTTTTGTACCACAAGGAATCTTGGGAAAGTCCACATCGCGGGATTAGGGTTACACCTTAGTCGGAAGACCCTCGAGACGTACTATGGAAGCAAGTGGCCGGCGTCGTTGCAGACGCATTAAGCTCGCATCGGCTCGAGCGAGCAGCGCTTGTTTGGACCTCGGTTTCTCTGGTTGAAGCAGTGTTTTGGTTTTGGACACTGGATCCTTACAACCGCAGAAAGGACAAACCTACTGTCGTGGCTGCTACAACCGCGGATCGTCCATTGCCGCGCGGTTGTGCTGAGGCGTTTGGTTCGAGTTTTCATTTTTCATTTTGCCATGCAGCTCTCGTTTGCACTTGTCCTGACCGCTGTTGTCGCCACGCTCGGGGCCGAAGCCAACGTCCTCCAAGCCGGGTCGTGCGCCATGTCGTGCAAGGGCCCCAAGACCGGGTTTTGCTCGGGCGTCGGCGCGCTTCCAACGGCGCTCTCAGCGACCACTTACAACAACGAGTGCGAGTGCCTCCAGGCCAAGTGCCTCAAGGGCAACGCGGTGCAGTGCTACGCCAAGCCGACCGCCGGCAAGTGCGACCCCAAGGCGCTCCTCAAGCTCAACGAACCCACCGCCAAGTCGCTCAAGCTCGTCTGCGGCTCCAACGGCGTCACGTACGACAACTACTTCCACCTCAAGGTCGCGCGCGAACTCGGCGGCATCCAGTTCCTCCAGACGGGCAAGTGCACGTCGCAGTACAAGACGTGCATGACCAACGTCAAGTGCTCCAACGAAGACAAGGTCGT